ATAAAATTGTGCCGATGCTGGTGTAATAATTATAGAAGGTATATCAAACGAATTATGATCATTGTCAACTAAATGTAAATCTGGTTTGATATTTTCACTAGATTCTATGTTAGATTCAAAAATTGTTGTAAGAGAATGGCTTATTATAAACGATGATACTTGTGAAATGATATTAGAATTAGAAATACGATGAAATTTGCTTACAGGTATAGGATGATGGTTGGATGCATTTCTTTTGGTAAAAGTCTCCCAGCCAAGCGTGTACAAAATGAAGAGTAAGGAAGGCTCATTATAGGGATAGGATCATACATTAAGGGGTTAAAGCCATTAAATATATGTGTTAAACCCTTTCAATGTTAATATATCGGTTTTATATTACATTGTTGCTGATAATTTTATAGGGCATTAAAGTTTTAAAAAGATCACCATAAAAAACTACATATTTCTTCAACTTTGATAAAGATTATAAATTACATTACAAATATACAAAATATAAAGAGATATCTATTGTATTCATTACTTTAAAAACACTTACTTAAAGAAAGCACATTTGCATTGATTCCTCTACAAAATATTTTTGAATTGCAACAATTTTCCCCTTTCTATTTTATACCAGGATGGTTTTATGTGCATTTTCACTCCACATCATTTAAACCAGACTTAAATATTATTAAATTTAAACTATTTTCAAAAACTCTTACCCTATTTTGACATTTAAAGTACAATTTTTGAATTGACAAAGAGTATGTAAAATGTGACAAAATTTTGAAGCACAAATTGTATTTAACAGTTTTGTAACTTACCAAAAAAACTCAGGAAGTCTCATTTTGGCTCACTTTATTCCAAATACAAAAAGATTTTTTTAAAATACTAAATATTAAGTATATCAATACCATCCTCTTATGAGATAATTGAAAGTAAAAGTGGTCATGTCATTATTATCTATTTATAAAATAATGTAAAATTTCAAGTATTCAACTGTCTTGAACTGATCAACAGCAAGAATGACAACATACTGTTAGGTATAGGTAAACAGAATATGGATATATTTCATAAACCTATAACTAAACATACAGTAACTGATAAGGCGGTGCATATTATAATTAATGTACAAGATTTTCATTGGTATAAATAAAATGAATGTTGTTGATAAAGTAAAGTTATTAATTTTGTGATTTAATTCATAATTTACATAAACTTTTTGATGACTATTCAGACCGTTACTTTATTAAGAAGATCAAAGTTCAAATTCAGTTTTTATTACTTGGAGGGGAATCAATATTTCATAATTATTACCGTAATTACCTACACGGCTACCTAACGTATATAAATAACATCGTTTAGATCATCCACTAAACTTTACACAAAACATTGAACTGTTGCAAACATATTAGCCTAGTAGTCACTTACATATTATTTTCCAGTATTCAAACTCAAGGTTTGCTGCCTCAAAAATATATTCTGTTCGAATTTTCAAGACATCATCTTATTTTCGGCAATTTATATTTTGTTGAATGTGGCATTTCACAGTTCATGCATTAATAATAATAAAATGTTTGATATTTAGTGTGGTTATGTTAACAAATTTGTTGTGTGTGACTCATTTGACGTAAAAAAACTATTTTAACGCCACAAAACACTAATCAGAGAACTAGTTCGTAGTTATCTGACACCTGACACTAATTATGGAACTAACCTGTCGAGTCAGAACGTGAAACTATTTTTTGCTATTTTTGTTGGTTTGGTAGGTAGGCCGTTTAAAATGTTTGGAGATGACGTCACAATAATAACAATTATATTGTATATTTCAGAGTTCTTGACGAATTCCTCTAACACTTATGAGCTCACATATAGTGTCCTAATACAATTTGGACGAATATAACTATTTAGTATTATCAGATGTAATCCATTTGAAATACTTAAAACCTCAAAAAGTTAAAAAAAAAATAAATAAGAAAAACTATTTAGAGTCACATGAAAAGTGTAATACTCGGGTACATATCTTCAAAACTAAACAGCTAAAGCAGAAGCGTATACAAATATATACTATAGCAATTTAATACCAGGAAGGGTAAAACAAATATGTATAAAATTAATCCTATAATTCTTTTAGAGAAAATAAAACAACTGGATCTCCTTTAGAGGGAGTGAGAGTCATTGACTTAAATCTGGATGTTATAAATATACAATAAATATGTCATAAACATAAAACATATATGCGTAGTTTGACTTTTATGTTGGATTAACGAATGGTTTTTTATTTATTTAGCGTATGGACTTTCACAGTACGACAAATATACAAATACAATTACAATAATATACACATATATATTATATATATTATTCAAACACTAAAAATAGTAAAAATAGAATGAATAGAATGAATGACACTAAATATTAATGTCCAATTTACATAGCCATTCAATTGCTTCTGGGGAACATTCCGCAAAGTCCTGGAGGTTTCCACGGTAGGCACGATTCAAGCAGTCTGAAACACAATGGCTTATGGTCTGTCTAGATTCTCCGCAATCGCACTGTGGACTTTCTGCACGACCCCACCTGAACAGCGAATCAGCACATTTACCATGTCCGGTACGTATACGATTAAGCCTTGCCCAAATGGACCGGGGCAGATTTGATCCGATGAAACCCTGAGTTGGGGTGGATATCTTAATATAGTCCGATTCTACTGTTGGCATCCATCTTGTTGTCCATTGCCTATGTATATCATAGGAATTACCAATTTTTCGGGCAGATCGTATTGGAGGATTTCTAGATCTCAATCGTTGGTGCTCTTTTGAGATGTCTGGGATATCTTGATGTATTGGTAATTGTACGTTGGCTACAATTTTCTGGTACTCTCTCACTAATGCTGCTGTACGGCGTAGATCTGGTGGAGCAATATTGCTCAGAGTAGGCAGCCATCTCACTGGCGTTGATTTTATTGTTCCAGTGATTATTCTCATGGTTTGGTTAAGTTGGACATCAATTTTGCTTGTATGTGCACTATTTAGCCATACTGGTGCACAATATTCTGCCACTGAAAAAACCAAAGCTAGAGCAGAGGTCCGAAGAGTATCTGCAGAAGCACCCCAAGTTGTTCCAGCAAGTTTTGATATTAAGTTATTTCGTGTTCTTAGTTTACCGGCTGCGTTTGTAAGATGACTTTTGAAGGTGAGAGTTCTATCAAGTGTGACGCCTAGATATTTGGGGTTGTTGTTATGTTTGATAGCTGTGTCGTTTAGAGTTACATTGAGAGTATCGCCCGCAAGTTGATTCGACAGATGAAAGAGACAGGTTTCAGTTTTGCTTGTATTAGGACGTAAGCGCCAGTTCTTAAAATAGCGAATGGTAATTTAACGAATGGTAATCCGGACAGAAAAGAATTGTAAATTGCATACATTTGGCGAAAGTAGAACAGATTCAACATGTCTTTGTATTCAACTCAAGTCAACCGCATTATGTCAATATTTAAATTTCCTCAATTGTTGATTTATTATGTAAAAAAAACTGAACATAAAAATATAGATGTAATCCATGGCGCACCTGCAAAAAATAATAAATTTTTCATAAAAAAATCATTTAAGCAATATTAATAGTAAATATTACAGTAAATAGTATCATCCACAAATCCGGTATAAATATAATTTGAATATTATAATTTATCTTTGTAAACATCGTTACGATAAAATTATATTACCGATTAAGCTGGATTTATAGTTTGACGGACTGTAGACGCAGACGCACTGGAAAAAGATCAACATAGGCTTTTGCGTACTCTTATTAGGGAGTTAAAGTGCAGGGCAAAACGTTAACGTTAACGTATAATTTGACAGCTACTCGTGCGCAGTAGAGGAATACATACGTTTGCGTTAACGGGTCTCCGTAACCTTGCGTGCGTTTACGGATTCCCTTAACGTTATCCAAATTGTTCGATAGTTCCGAGTATTACCGAATTTCTGTCAAATCTCCGAAAATTAAAAACTTTTTGTTGTTTTGTGATTTTAACCAAAGATTCATCTTTTGTTTGTATTATTGTAATCTAAAAATAGTGAAAAAAATCGAAAAAAAATGACGGATATCAATTTTCCAATAAGTTATTACCAAATACATGTAGAAGTACAGCATCGTACATGTCATCATCCTCGAAATCAGATTCCCCACACATTTCAAATATTAAAGATATCTTCCATTCTGCTGTAAAAGCAATCAAAATATTTCATAAAAAACTAACCAAACCAGGAAAAAAATATAAAAGGACACTGTCTAATCATTCAAATTTGTAATTAATCCACAACAAATTTGAGTAAAAGTAAGGTTAGAAACACACGTTAGACGTTAACGTTTTACACTTCACAGCTAAAACGTATAGTGTCCGTAAACGTAATATCTTTACGTTTACGTTAGTGTTAACGTTTACGTGTCACCTGCACTTTAACTCTCTATTTATAAATGAACGTAAACGCAAGACGGGACGTAAGCGAAACGCACTGTAACGGAAGAGTTGGTCAACTTTCAACTTTTACAGTGCGTTACTTGCGTCTGGCGAATCAAAAGGAAGAATTTTGTGCTGACAACCAAAATGAACTGTCTGGCACGCCCACAATTTTGTAAAGTTGCTTATTAACATAGTCGAATTTTTATTTTGTTGATTATTGGTTACAATGGAGGTTAAGAATTTATAAAATAATAATAATAAATAATAAAATGATATTATAATATCATGGTCGCCAACTCTAGCCGCTGTTTCTACTCATGCGCAAAAATTCCACTCCGTCGATTTATAAATTGAAATTATATTTACAGTCCGTTTGTTACGTTTCCAGTACGTCTACGTCTACAGTGCGTCAAACTATAAATCCAGCTTTATTTTCATAAATTTTATAAAAATTTGCACATTTCACAGCATTTCAATTAATAATTGCCTAAAGACGATCTCATGAATGCGACAGCAAAAATTGACATTGACAATCAGCTGTTTAATTTTGACATTTATTGACGTTTAGTGCGGGACGAGGTTATAATAGTAATATTGTTTAGAATCGGTTTCAGGATGTTTTAGGGTGTATTTTGTGTACAATAACAGAATAATGGAGCACTTTGATGATGAAATTAGCAGTGTAGAGGATGAAACTACTTCTTTGTTCAATAATGAATCGTCCTTTGAAAAGAAGTCTGACGAATATAACCATGATTTGGATGATGATATGGAAGATACAAGATCAGAATTAAAGTTTGACAGAGGTAAAATTAGTTTTTACTTAATTAAATTAGTCTAAAGGTTGTCTTTTAGCATTGGAAACCGAAGAAGAAACTGAAAAAAGATTGTTAATAGAAGAAGCTTTAAACAATGAATACACTACAATAAAAACTTGGAAGAAATTTGCTGTAACACAATATGGTTTAGTAGCAGGTAAGATATTTTTATTCGGCAATTATTATTGATTGAAATTATAAAATGATTATTTTAGATGATTTGAGATGCAAAGTATGGCCATTATTACTGGAAGTAGATCCAACTTCCAATGAAAAAATACCCTCTCTAGAAGAATTATCTAGTCATAGTGAATATCAGCAGGTAGTGTTAGACGTTAATAGGTCTTTAAAGAGATTTCCTCCAGGTAAGAATATACATTTCAATGTACAAAGTTTGATATTATCAACCTTTGATATAAATCATGGGTCCAGTGTAGAGATAGTGCAACCTAACCTATCTTAATGTAAGATTACATTAAATATTTTGAAAACAGCCATTATAAAAACATAATTAATATCATAACAGAGATAAGTAATTTTAAATATGATGAGGCATATTTTAGATCTGATTTGATAATTATGTAGATATCATTAATACATTCAAATCAATGTTTTGAACTTTTTTATTACTGTAGAAAAATATTAGGGATTAAGTTAATAAGACCCAGAGTATTCAATATTTTTAACAAAAGGTGATTTTAGTACTTTTTACAAAAATGCACAAAGATGTTTCTCCAACTACAGGGTTTCTCTCTTTTATGCTACTTTAAATTCATAAGATAGTTTTAATATACTTTTTAAGTGACTTTTTTGTCCTACTACGGATTTTGATTGATGATGTTTGGGGCATATTATCCTAGTGTCTTTTGTTGTTAGAAATCATCTATATACTATTTGATTACCTTTTATTTCAATTTGAGACACACTTTTGATATAGTCACATATTTTCTAATTCTATTTCAGTCATTTACACATTTTACCTCATATGTTGTGTAAATATTGATTTTTGTGGATAGAAACATATTATTATGCATTTTTGGCTCACAATTTGTACATAAATATTTTTGCAGATGTTTTCTACTTAAATATGAAAAGTTTTTATTGTTAGGATCCCTTCTAGAGTGATTGTAGGGCACATGTAGTTATATCTCAGTCACTTTTGTTGTTTAGTGTCTAACAGTTTAGATTATTCTTAATCTCTGTGTGACAGTAATATGTTTGTCATATTGAATTAGACCAGTATTTATATTTGGGGTATTAATTATCCAAGGAGAGGGGCTTTTAATATTGATTGGAAAGGTAATTGGGAATTCGATATTAAGACATCTCAGGTAATACTGTACTAGCTCATAGTAAAGATTATGTTTGGTACTATTGGTAAAAAGATACATATTTATTAGTGAATGTATTATTAATAGAGGTTTGTTTACATTTGAGGCTATTGACATTGCGTGTGATAGTGTTAAGGAAATTCAGCGGTGATATAATGAAGGTTCCCCACTTTCAGAATATAAACTTTCCACTGTTGACATTCGAAATGCGCCAAGAGAGAGTCTAAGTGCTGTGTTGTGAATAAAGTCTAGCTGTTTTAACAATATGAGGGAAGCAGAGACGCAAGCAATTGATCCATAATCACTTTTTGATCTAATTAGAGTTCTGTAGATTGTAAGTAAGGTAGAGAGATCAGAGCCCCAATATCTATTTGACAGTGTTCTCATTAGGTTAAGTTTCTTATGACAAGTCAAAAGTAATTGTCTAATTTATGTTCTTTCCAGTAAGTTTATTATCAAACCACATACCTAAGAATTTTACACATGATTTGAAGGATAACGATGTATTGAAAAACTTAAGATTGGAATTATTTGATAAGTTCTTTTTTGAGAATACCATATCAACGGTTTTTGTAACCGAGAATTGAAAACCAGTATAGCGAGACCACTTTTAGAGTTTTTGTAAGAAACTTTGCAAAATTGTTGGAAGTTAAATTAATATCTTTGCATTTACATAAACCATCAAGTCATCTGCATATAAACTTGCTTTTAAAGGTTTTTTGAGGTTTTTAATTATGTCGTTAATAGCAATTAAGAAAAGTGTATGACTAATAATTGAGCCTTGAGGGATACCGTTTTCTTCCTCCTGCATTTCGGAATAGTAGTTGTTAAGTCTTATACGAAAAGATCTGTTTTCGAGAAAGTTCTTAATAAAATGAAGGCAATTTCAACGAATGTTCCATGACTAACTTTTTTAAAATGTTGAATCACTGACATGTATTAAATGCCCTTCTTAAATCAAGGAATACTGCGATACAATGCTGTTTTGTTGCCAGAGATTCATGAATATCACTTTCCAGGTCTAATATGTTGTTTATCCCGGATCGGTTTTGTCAAAAACAATTTTGTTCATTTATAAGTTCGAATTTTCTAGGTGCCAAGTCAGCCTTGAGTTAATAATTTTTTCTAATAGCTTGCTCATTGCACAAGTTAGGCTTCTCGGTCTATAGGAATTGGGGTGTAGATGAGATATTTGGCTTTTGAGAAATGGGAGAATTATAGATTTTGACCAAACAGATGGGTACTGGTGTATGCCAGATGAAGTTAAATAATTGAAGCATGTAATTTTTAGCAGGTGTGGGTAGGTGATTTAAGAAAATAGTTGGTATATCGTTGGGCCCAAGACTTGTTTCTTTTAGATCAGTCAGTGAATTGTTTAGTTCTTGTAATGTGAGAGGAGCATTTAATGCAATGTTGTAGTTTTCTAGAACTGTAGAAAGATCAAGAATCAAGGTTCCGAACTAATGCCAGAGATAAAGCTAGATGAGATTCGACAAGCATTAAGAAAAATGAAAAATAACAGAGCCCCAGGAGAGGATGGAATCGTAATAGAAGCTATCGTAAATGGAGGAGATATGCTATTAAATAAATTAAGGAAACTATTCAATCTATGTTTGCAGCAAAGAGAGGTGCCCAAAGAGTGGAACAATGTTACAACCATCCTTTTGCATAAAAAAGGAGATAGAACGGACCTAGAAAATTATAGACCTATTAGACTGTTGAACCACATATACAAGCTCTTCACTAGAGTAGTGACATCAAGATTGGAGAAAAAATTAGATTTCTACCAACCGAGAGAGCAGGCAGGATTCCGCTCAAATTATGGTACCAATGATCACCTCCACACAGTAAAAAACACTCATTGAAAAATCTATAGAATATAACAAACCTCTTGTTCTCACTTTTATAGATTTTCATAAAGCGTTCGACACGATCGAATTAGACAGCCTTATAGAAGCCATGAATGACAGCAGGATTGACCATAGGTATAGTGAGCTTATTTATAATATTTACAAAAATACCACTGTGACTGGTAAAATAGACAATAAAACCCGACCAATACAAATAAATCGTGGAATAAGGCAAGGAGATACATTGTCGCCGAAATTATTCATAACGGCAGTAGAATATGCCTTTAAGATGATCAATTGGGACCACAGAGAATTAACGATAGACGGCGAAAAGCTTAACCATCTCCGTTTCGCAGATTACATTGTCCTTATCACAGATAATTTAGGAGAAGCTACAGATATGATAAACAAATTGGATTTTCAATGTTCGAAGGTGGGCAGCCTGAGAATGAACTTGACCAAAACTAAGTTTATGACAAATTTGGTCCCCAATAACCATTTGACTGTTCAAGACAAAGTGGTAGAACTGGTGGAGAAATATACGTATTTGGGTCATGAAATAAGAATCAGCAGGGATAACCAAACATGTGAGATCCAAAGACGAATTACTTTAACATGGGCAGCCTTTGGAAAACTGCGAGACACACTTAGGGCCAACATACCAATCAGCCTCAAAAGAAAAGTGTTTGACCAATGCGTATTACCGGTCATGACCTATGGGGCGGAAACTATGACTTTAACCAAGACCACGGCTTCGAAACTGAGAGTGGCACAGAGACGAATGGAATGGTCTATGCTGGGAGTGACGTTGAGGGACCGAATAAGAAACGAAGATCTGCGAAGAAGGACGAGTATTACTGATGTTGTGGAACGCATAGCGGAACTAAAATGGAACTGGGCAGGCCATGTAGCGAGAATGCACGATTCACGATGGACGAGCAAAATTACAAATTGGAGGCCAAGAGCAGACAAACGCAGTAGAGGAAGACCACCTACACGTTGGGCCGACGACATCAGGCGTATCACTAAAAATTGGCAACAAAGAGCACAAAATCGTGAGGAATGGAGGAGTTTAAGGAGGCCTATGTCCAGCAGTGGACGTGATAAATAGAGGCTGGATGATGATGATGATGTAGTTTTCTAGAGGGAGGTTAGACCTTTCGCCTTCATTTTTTTGTAGTTAATTTTATTTTCGAGAGTTTTATGCTTCTTAAATCTATTAAAAGCTGGCATGTACTGCTTCGTTACACTCCGAATTCCACCAAGGCACAGGAACATGATTTTTAATGGGCTTTGTTTTGCCGATGAAGAGCTCCGCACTCTGCAAGATGACACTATTAAAAATACCTAAAGAATCGTCTATATTATTATTATATTATCTATTTTCATTATTTTCATTTCTTCAATTGCGTTGTCAAGTTTCTCAGCCGCAAATAGACTTCTAGTATTCCATGTGCACATTCTAAAATTAGATTTCTTTATTTTCAGGATTTGTTCACGAGGCTTTCGCATGTTTACAAGCTGAGAAGCCTCGTGGCATAAATATGTTTCTCATCTCCTGCCAAATCTTGGCTTCCGCTATCCATGATTAGTAACGGTTTACAATTGCAGTAGTTGCAGTTCTTTGGTGGTTTTCCTGGCGGAGTTCTATGAGCCGTTAATCCAGTGATTCTCCTTTGCCTTCTGCATTCTTATGCCGTTGACCATTATTTGTTGATTCATCCGCCTTCGGGGCCGATTTCTCAACCCCAGGACAAAATAAGGCCCTACCACTCACCAACTCATCCGCCCTAAGTCGTTGGTCAGGAAGTGGGGTATTGCTTATACCGGCAATCACTCGGAATAGCATAGATCCCTTATGCTACGTTTTTGTAGCATGAGCACTTTATACACCGCTTTGACTGTTTTTTTTGCATTTAATTTCTTCCATTTAGCTATTTATATCATTGTAAGTACATTGTAAATCTTTTATAAGGTTTTTGATCTTTTATGATTTATGATTTAATCTATTAGGGATCGTTGGTGTCTGGTGCTTCAAATGTATTGGAGAAACATGTTTGCCAGATTTAGCTTGTTAAAAGCAGCAAATTGTTCTTTTTCCTAATGTTCTCCTACTCCTGGTATTGATTGATGGCCTACACATGCATTTAAATCTTTAAAAACTAAGATGTGGCCCATTATTTTACTTTTATTTATAGTTCGTTTGTATTGTTATCTAATGTATGTGCTTAAAGGAATTGGGCATATCGATATGTTTTTTCATAAATCACGAATTTGTCTAATAAACGACATATTTTATTAGATAATTTTTACATTACATACTACATTTTTTACATCAACATGTGCAAAATTATTGCAGCCGATAAAATGCTCGAAATAACAAAGTTAAAATTAGATCATGATGCCGTTTTTGCAAAGTAAACATCAACAATATTGTAAATACATGTTTTCTTAACAAATTTAACCATATGTTTAAGATTAAAAGAGAGAAATTATGTAATGTAATGTAATTTTTTCCCAATATTTTCATAAAAACTATAAATATTGTTGTTTGGTAACTTTAAAAAATGTAAAATACTCATATGAGCATTAATTCGTATAAATTTGTGATAATCGAACAGGTTAGCATCATCTGTTAACGAGTTTTGCCCTTTTTGTTGCATATTTTACTCTAATCCTTAAACATAAAAATAAATTTTACTAGATTTAGTAATGCCATATAAACTGTTAAACATTTTTTACTCGAAGAAAGATCATTAAATGAAATCGTAGGCTTTCACGGCCAGAGTCAGAATTATAGTTTATTCGTCTTCCGGGTTTGGACCGTGTCATTTGTGAGTGACCCAAAAGTGGGTTCATCTCGACGTTTCGCTACAATTGTATGTAGCTTCTTCAGGAGAACAAAGAAAATGAAAACAAAAGACAGGAAGATGGGTAGTACAACGGTAACTCAGTTACTCAACGCAACCAGAGGCGAATACTAATTACCAAGATGGGCATTTGGTCACAGTAACTCAACTACTCAACGCAGCCAGAGGTGAAAACCAAATGCCAGGACAGGGATTCACGTCCAACAGCTCAGAACACTAACGCGTCGAGAGGCGGGGAGTGAATCCGACGATTACTCCGCTACCGCTCTATTTATACTCGCGGTGACCTGTCGTGTCGGGACGTATCGGCACACTCCGTGGCGCGAACGTCAAGAAGCGCGCACTGGCCAATCATGTGGCTGCATCGTGGTAGCGGGACCGGACGGCGGCTCTAGACTGAGATTCCAGATGGGAGACAAGTAGTATCCTTCCTCTCGATTGATATTATGTGGATTTTTTCGGATCTCTAGAGATTCGCGGATTTTCCTGGAATAAAAGAAGGGGCTCTTAGAAATAATATGGGTTTTTTCGAACAATATGGAATGACCGGTTTCTTGGCAGTGTTCTGCAACTGCAGAATGGGAGAAAAGACCTGATCGAATGCATCTTTGATGCTCTTGAATCCGAGTTTTGACGGAACGACCAGTTTCGCCAATATACACATGTCCACATGAACAAGGAATAGAATAGACACCACAGGAAGATAGGGGCGGTAATGGGTCCTTAGGAGAGGGTAGATATTGTGAGATTTTCTTGGGTGGTCGAAAAGTAGTCCTGATACCTTCTTTGCGAAGAATTTTGCCAATCCTATCAGTGACATTTCGAATATACGGAAGAAAAGCCACAGGAGTATTACCCGAAGATTCTGAATTTGTCGTCCTAGGGTGTAAAGGGGGATGTAGGTAGATGTCGGTGTGTAATATTTTGAATTGTGGACTTGGAGTAACCGTTGGCTACAAGGGTTTTTTGCAGATGGCCAAGTTCTTCTCTAAGGTTGTCGGGTTCAGAAATCGAAATGGCCCGATGGATGAGAGAGTTGATCACAGAATTCTCGCTTCATTTTCTTTGTTCTCCTGAAGAAGCTACATACAATTGTAGCGAAACGTCGAGATGAACCCACTTTTGGGTCACTCACAAATGACACGGTCCAAACCCGGAAGACGAATAAACTATAAAGATCATTAAAATTTGATTTTATAAATATATTTTACTTTCAGGCATTCCATACAAGCAGAGGCTAGCTCTGCAAGACCAACTAACAGTTCTTATATTACGTGTCATTATAAAATATCCACATCTACGATATTACCAGGTAAATTTATTTTCTTATTTAAACAATAATGATGAGATACAGTTTAGTTAAACTTACAATATGTACCAGTACGTAGAGAGTTCGAGGACCTTCTTGTGGCAGTTTCCTCTATCTTGGCATCTTTCAAAGTTTATCATGTCTTTAAAACCACTTCTTATCATTAGTTTCGATTCCATAACATTTTTGTAAATTTTTAGTATTTATTCTCTTTATAATGTCAATATTACCCACATTATTTGTTAAATTTCTTTTGGAGTTCTTCATATTGCCTAGAATAGTTCTCAACAAACTGCAGTAGCTTTATTTTTATAACTCATGTAGTAAATCCTCATCCATACTATTTTTTTTCGCCCTTATATCCAGTTTCTATAGGTTTGCTTATCAAAAAATATCTTTTAGGGTTATCACGACGTCGCCATAACATTTTTATTAGTGGTAGGGGAAGTAGTAGCTTTTAGAATCATGGAAAACCTCAGCACGACTCATTTGAGAGATTGTATGGAGCCCACCATGGAGAAAACTTCCTATAGGTTAAATTACATTTATGCCCTTTTGTCAAAAGTCGATCATGATCTCTATAATTTTTTAGAAAGGTAAGTCTTGAAAAATTAATAACTGTAGTATAGATAATTTGTGTGTTTACGAAACTTTATGTTAATATCGTGCTGGTGCATAACTTTTTTTTTATTTTTGTCGAAAAAAATTGTATGAAGAACGTATTAGAACGCCATCGCGTTCTCGTCGTGAACGCGATGGCGTTCGTTAACACCGGTATTACTGTTTATCATAGACAATATCATTGATTATAAACCACTACCTAGATACCTCACTCTAAAGTAAAAACGAATTCAGTGTTAAACTCCGCCCACTTACACCTCTTTGCCCCTCACGCCTAAGTACTACCTGACTGTATGGGGGCGACATTCATTGAAATCTTTGCCAATATTGAAAAATAAATTTCAGTTCCCTGGTCCGGCAATTCTCTAGTGCATTAGAGGACGATATAAGGATGGCATTCAGCATTTTCACAAGTAATTTTAACGTGCTTGTAATCTATATTATGAAATTAAGATTTTACTTCAGAAAAAACGCTAAAAATTGATTAATGAAAACATTAAAGGTTTTCTAAAAATTATTTATTTATCAACACAATACAAAAAAATAACAAAATATAAAATACATAATAAAATTAGCAGTGATAAATTACATCTCATGTAAATTACTTTTTTGTAACTTTTCAAACAAATTAATTTCCAGAATTGATGCAAACTAAAATATTTCAAGCTAATATACAGAATTTATTTCCAGATTTAATCCATTCACTCACGGTAAAATATTGCAAAACCTCATAAAGAATCGCTTGGATTGACATGAAATTTGGCTTACGCCTAGCTAAGATGTCAAAGGAAAAAAGATTATGCTTTGCCCTATGGATCAGTATCACCTCTTATCGGGAGTGAAAAAGTATATGTTCCAGATAAGTTCGGAAGTGCCTAAAATCAGTAATTCCAAGCAACTTTGGTTTTATAGAGGTTTTTCACTATGTCAATACTTTTCGAGTTATTGAAAAATAGGTTCTTATTCGTCAAATTCCATGTTGAATATTTCAACGTGAAATAATAAAAAACTGAAGCACTTTTCGACGAAAACTCATTAGGTACAACTTTTTTTAAAGTGTTTTAAAAAGGTTTATTTTTGTTAAGTTTCTTGCATCAGGAGTATGCAAGTTATGACCAAAATATTCAGAAAAGCACAACCTACATTTTTTTACTCTTATGTGATTTTTGGTGTCACTAATAAATTTTAAGGTATTTTGAAAAAAAGCATTTTTTTCAAAATTAAAAGAAAATTGTTAAAAAATAAGTCCTTTCAACAAATGAAACTTACAGATCATTATAATAATAAAATAAAAACAATGACCAAGGTATTTATTAGAGAAATCAGGACATGCATTGAAATTGCAAGACAAGCATTTATAAAAATGAAAAAAATGTTTGTTAATCGAGATCTTATCTATTTTTGATGGGAAATAAGCCACAATTTTACTAAAAAATGGTTTTATTAACGTTTCGACGCCCAAATCGGGTGTCGTTGTCAAAATACAAAAATTATTAATGAATTAAACAAAACTGTTGTTGCTTACTAAAAAATTCTTCTAATAATTTATTTAATCTGACTCATATAACACTTCCCACAGATAATACACGTACAGGGTAAGTTCGGCCCTGACACCACTCCTATCTCCTCGCAAGCCAGAGAGAATGAGAATCTCGATACGGTTTTCAAGTAACGCCATCTAGTTTTTGATACGTCTTTCGGTTACCACGAGGTGAGCTATCTAGGTAGTGGTTTATAATCAATGACAATATGAGACGGGTACGTTGACTTGGATAACTATGCGACATATTTTAATACTTTTTAAAACAGATTTTATCTCAACACTCATGTACTCACACAACTTTTTTGAGGTTATGCGTTGGTTTCTTTAACTGAAAAACACAGTAACAGCCGTATACTGTGATTGTAAAAAGATTTTTAATTGAAGATGTAAAAATAAAATGAAAAATACAGTATCTGGCATATACTGTCTTTTATACTTCTATATGAGACACACTGTGTTTTTCATTTTAAAATTAGAAAATTTACGATAGATACTGTGTTTTACTATTCGAAAATCTTCAAAACCAAGTGATCTATGGGGATTTTAAACCTAAAATATAATAAAGAACATTAAGTTATACCCATAAAAGTAAAAAAGTCAATTATGAAGAAATTGTTGGATACTGTGTTTTTCATTGGGACAGCCGTAACGTCTATATAGTAATAGAAAAGAAGTAAGAGACTGTTTAATATTTTCCTATTCTTTATTTATGATCTGCTTTAAGTCTGTTTTAGACTATAACATAAAATGATATAAGAAAATGTTATAACAAAAACTTACATGAAATGATTGTGTACAATATTAGTACAAGAAGTTTTGTGTATTACATAGGTAAGAAGGTTAGGTAGAATGCGATCTTACTCTTCATAAAATATGTCACGTATTTCAGCGCCACCTCTCAGCCTGGAAGTATACCATAATATGGCCTTCACATAATTGGTTTGTGGCTTCCACATGATAGGTGCAAAATTTTAAACGTTCTTGTTGTTGATTGGATAGTAGCTCCTACATGATAGGTGTGAAATTTTAAACCTTCTTGATGTTGATTGGATAGTATGCTCAAGGTGAGTGAGCGGTAAATTTGAAAGACTTACCGTACAGCTTGTCACATACGGGGAGCTATGCTATATTATATCATACCCGCTCTCTATAATAATAAATAAGCCTGCATAGACGGAACTAATGGTTCCGTGTATGCAGGCTCACCAATAAAGAGCGGATGATATAATATATAGTATAGTATAGCTCCCCTGCGTGACAAGCTGTACGGTAAGTCTTTCAAATTTACGGCTCACTCACCTTGAGCATACTATCCAATCAACATCAAGAATGTTTATTCCAATAGATATTTTCATGGAGTGAACAATCAAGATAAAACACAACAAAATTTTCTTTCTTAATTATTTATTTATATAATGTTACATTTTACAGAGTATACTGTTTAAATTTAGTATGTAAATTTTGAATTATAAAATGAAGATTTACGTCAATAATTATTATGTTGTTAAAATTTATTTATTTTACTGGCACCACCCAATTATATATATATATATATATATATATATATATATATATATATATATACAAATATTGATACATTAAACATTAAAATATTTATTTCTTCGTAAACTCTAGGCCTTCTCCTTTGTTGATTCATTAAGATGGAAAACGTGGGATCAGAAGTCATACCAAATATAAAAAGATTCGAAATAGAAAGAGCTTTAAAAGAGCTGAAAAATAATAAAATTCCACGACCCAACTGTATAGTTGCCGAGCTCTTGAAAACAAGTAAGCCACTAACCATCCCTATAATAACAGGTATTTAATAGACGGTTCCATAATAGCAAGATCCCTAAAGACTTAAAAGATAGTCTAGTAACAATATTTCACAAAAAAGGGGATAAATGTGATCTAAAGAATTATAGACATGTAAATTCTTGCTCAGTCTCAGTTGAAAGGTTTTTGAAACAGTCATGTGTGACAGGCTTCTCAGTTTTTTCTATAGTGAGGGACTGTTATGCCATGCACAACATGGGTACCTTAACAGAAATTCTATAGAGACTGTCATTTATGATTTTATAACAAAGATAAATGAGGGTTATGAAAACAAAGATATATCCATGGGCATATTTTTAGATTTATCAAAGGCATTTGATACTTTAAATCACAAAATACTAATGGAAAAGCTTTACAGATATGGTATTAGAGGGCCAGGTTATAATTGGATAAAATCTTCTCTTCTTCTTTTCTAATATAGAAATACTTACGTTTTGGAGTTGGATTACTAGTTCCAGGACAAGTATCAATGTTTAATAAATAATTTGTGCCTGGAGACACACTGAAACTACAGCTGGACATGACATTTTGTATGTCCTTTAGTAGAGGCCTTTCTGTCTGGGGTAAATGTATCTCACCCAAAGAGGCTGAAATAAAAAATTTGAGTGAGTGAAAACAATATCAATATTAAAGTTTCAATAATAAAAAAAAACCTGTAACTCCACAATGACAACAAAAATATATGTGCAGTACTAACTTAACTTTCAATATCTAAATCTTAATTATATACCTGGCAGATTCATGGATGGCAAAACTCCTGTTTTTAGTCGATTATTAGGACCAAATACTTCTGCTTTGAAATGAATGGAGCAAACTCTGTTACTTGTGTAGATCTTTTGAGGATCTTTATCCAAAAGGTTTTTATCACCCACTAAATGTACCCATTGATTAAAAAGATCCGCGTACTTTTATGGTTCCGGAAATCTATGTTTACTTGTTGTACTTTTCCAACATGTCTGCACACAACAGTTGATGGGAGGCATTTTACCTAAAAATAAATAAATGTGTATTTTAAACACGTTAGATAAACACTCTCGTTCCATGGATAAATCAATCAATCTACAATATAATCAAAAAATCTTACCACTTAATCAGGTGTATAAAAATATGGAAAAATAGGAATGAATATAAACTATTCTTATGGTCACACAAACCAAACAAAAACACCACTTAATCGGGTATAAAAAAATATCGAAAAATACGATTGAAAATAATTTTTTCTACAGTCGCAAAAACCAAAATAATCGCAAACAAATACCACGTAAACAGCTACACGCTATAAAGGCTTCATTTTGAATTGGCTTTTTGGACGCCGTAGGTCACAGTGCAGGGCTTGTCAAATGTCATGTTCTATGATGCATAAATTAACGTTTTGCACGGCCTCATACGGCCTGGAAGTAAACTAAATAGAATAACATTTTTTTTACTAGAGTTCGCGGGGCATGGTGTATTACATTGTCACATTTTGGTATCAAAATATGTTATGTGATTCTGCGCATTACATGCTAAACAGTCCTTTTTTAAAATTATTTTGTTGGTGTACATGTACTTTTAACCTCAATGTTCTTATTCTTTTTTTTGTTATTGTAACGTAAACTCATTTTCTTCAAGATTTAACCTAGTTTTTTATCCACGTAAATAACTAGTTAGTTCTACCCTCGTTTTACTTCTGCTTTAACAAAGACATAGGTATATATATATATATATATATATATATATATATATATATATATATATATATATATATATATATTTATTTATGATGGATAAGAAAATTCTCCTATTATCTACTGCTTCCATTACAACATTTCTTTTAATTCAGACAAGCAAGAAAAAACGCCAACGAAATATGTGGTCTAGAGCTTGGCTTCAAAAAAGACAGGAAGGTCGTGGTGTTTTAAGTATGTTGTAAACTGAATTAAAAGACAATGAATCTGAAAAATATAGACAATATTTAAGAATGTGTAAGCCACAATTGAATGAACTTCTTGAACTGATTCGAGAAGCGAGAAGATATTACCAAACAGGATACAAAATTGTAACTGCGCATGCGTGTGTACTAATAATTGGTATCAAAATAGGACATGTTCTAATTTCTATACCATTTTTTGTTAACAGATTTTGTTTTCTGTTTTACATTATGACAAAACTTAGTATACCATTTTCTTATATCATTTTATGTTATAGTCTAAAACAGACTTTAGAGGTAAGGAGTTTTGTGATGATTTCTTGACTAATTTTATTGGGAGCTTTAAGCATGATATTCTTCTTCTGTTTTAGTGCTTCAGTAGGTACAATGTTCGCACTTCCTTGGTACCTGACGTGGTTCGGCCACTCCCTCAACCAATACAAAGACGTGGTGCGATTGTATGACTTTTTCCTGGCCTCGCCCCAGGACATGTCGCTCTACGTCTCCGCATCTCTTGTCATTTACAGAAGGCAAGAAGTGTTCGCAGAAGGCTGTGATATGGCGAGCATTCACTGCCTGCTGTCCCAGATACCAGACAATCTAAACTTCGAAGCCATCCTGGAGAAGGCTTCAGAGTACTACAGGAAGTTCCCGCCGGAGAAGCTGGAACAGTTGGTGAAGAGACGGGTGGAAAAAGAGTATGTACCCTTTGGAGTATTTTTGATAGTAGAGAAGGTTTTGTTCTTCTTTAAAAATCTTTTCAGTATTCGCTTTTACTTGCTGATGCTTAGTACATTGCTGTTACGCAAGCATAGGACTAAATATAAGTAGTGTAGTTTTTATTATTTAGAGAAAAAAAGTGATTTTACTTAATTTAACTGCTTTTACCATGATTTTAGCTTAATAAACGTGTTACATTTTTACAAAATTTGTCGTTGTTTTAAACCTCGCCCTATTTCGCTTCATCAGCCGTAATAATTCAATATTCACAGGCATATATTGCAAGAACCAATTTATATTACAACAGTTTATGCTTTGCTCGTCTTAGGTCCACCTTATAAAGGCACCTCCACATTGTTATTATATTGTAGTGACATAAAAATTTAAAATAGCGGATAGGAGACATTAAAAAAAATGTAAATGGCGTCTTATGGCAACTAATACTTTATTTGACAGCTTATTCTATCGAGTCTTTCCAAAATGGCGAATTACGCCTTATAATTTGGTAGTATTCAACTTTATGGAAAACGTTGGATTTATTTGTTCAATTTCCTGTATTTATAGTGATCAAATTGTCAAAGATATGAAGTCATTAACATTTTTATTAAATGAAAATATACGACATATGATACGTCTATTTAAACTCTTCTGTTAGTATGTTATTTGAAGCTAGAAAAAGTTATTTTTTCAATGGGAGTCAGTGTACGATATTGTACAGTTACCGTTAACTGAGGCAATACTTCAGACACTTTACTTTTAGGTGCAATCAACTGAAGCTTAGATTCTGTACCCTTATCGTTCTCAAAGGTTCTATACATCTTACTATATATGCATACTTATATATATACAGTATTGGAAGATTCAAAACGGAACATACGAATTATTAATGCAATTATTAAGATCCCCTGACCTGCAATTACCCAGTGTAAATTTCAATATAACGTCGCGATGTCTTATAATTAATTCATTTGTTCGACTGGATTGCTACTCCTTGGCGATTTCTAGTAGCGTATTCGACAGGTGTACGTCGACACTGTTGTCTATCGTCCACTGATTTTCTGTGTTTTTGTGCAGATAATAACAATGTTTTATTAATAACAATTTTTTTGTGTTCATTAGATATTATTTGAATTGGTTAGTGTATAGTTTAATATATTTATTATTCCAAATATTGTTGATAATTTAAAATTTAAAAGGATGTATATGATACATCAAAATCTACAGATTTTTGCCGAAGGTATCTATCGATTTGGCAACAGTCCCAAGGAACATCACTGGCCGAGCAAAACAAATACATGCCCTTTGCTTTGCTTCTCATTATAACGCCATAAGCTGAAATAAAAGTAGTGTTTCTAACCATAAACCATGTATACAAACAAAGAAAAAGTACAAATTTTAAAATGGTATTATGGGGGCAACTCGTACCGTGATATTATAAATTTATTTACTTGTGCGTATGAAGATAGGCCAATACCGACACAATTAACTATTAGTCGTATTATTAAGGTGCGCACGTGCGCAGCAGTCGAAAAATATCGACTGGAGAAGGAGTCCAGTCGAACAAATGAATTAATTATAAGACATCGCGACGTTATATTGAAATTTACACTGGGTAATTGCAGGTCAGGGGATCTTAATAATTGCATTAATAATTCGTATGTTCCGTTTTGAATCTTCCAATACTGTATATATATATATATATATATATATATATATATATATATATATATATATATATATATATATATATACTATAAGTCGCACTTGGCTTCTGGATTACATGCACTAATGTCTTGTCAAGAAGATCTTTCGAAGCATCCAATCCAATACTCTTTTTATACATGGATCATCCGCTTGAGCCTCTTGTTTCGGTCTTGCTAGTCGTAAAGCTTTTTGTAATTCATTGTCTTTTGACCCATTTACGAAGATATCTCTACAAATTTCTTCCAAAATGTTGTCTGGTGTCTCTGGATAAGCTAACCGCACTATACGAGCAACATATGCTTCAAACTCTTGCAAATTTTCACTTGCTCGTTGAATTCTACTTCTTAGTTGTGCTTTGTAGACTTGTAGATGGGCATTTCCGTAACGTTTGTCTAGTCGAGTGAACAAGGTCTGGTAACATTTTTCGTGGCCCTTAGGAATTTATCTTAGGATATCCGCAGCATTACCTCGTAAAGCAGCAGTCAAGGAAACAGCTTTTTCTTGTTCTGTCCAATGATTGGCTGTCGCAATATCTTCAAATTGTCTAAGCTTATAGAAAATATAGACCAAGAAGGCTTTTATATCAAATGGTGGCCTTTTTAACAGTTACCAAAGTATTTTACCACTAATGTCGAAATTGGTCCGAGTTTGTATTCCTCAAGACATGCAGACAATGCAAAAGCTCGATGAAGAATGGAGGAAACTTTAACAATACCAGGATAGTCCAATAGAATTCAAAAATCTGGATGAAGTCTATTTTAAAAGGGATCAAATAGAACATTTTAACGGTAATCCTCTATTTGATAATTTGAGTGACTTTGAATTGCCTGTATTAACTTTACCTTATTCAAATTTATGCAAGTTGTGAAAGACAATTTTTAAAAGTAAATTTAATAAAAATGAAGTGCAGGTACCTGCACTGTATATTTGCGCTTATTATATAGACCTATCCTTGTGCCTTTATACGGTTTATTCAAACAAGTATTGAATATTTAATTGTTACGGCTCAATGACTATTTATAATTGTAGTGTAACATTTAGCGGTGGTGGTAAATAATATTTTTGTGGTTTTTATTTTTCTGTATCATACATTTTTCATGCTAAATAATTGTTTACTGTGTTTCTTAATCATTTAATCGCCTTTTTAAGTCAAACTTCTAGATAAAGCTAAGTTACCACTTTATACTCATTAGGAAATAATGATAACTGATTAATGTATTCTCAGTAGATAAATGATAGGCATTTTTTGACAGTGTGAGGTGTCACAGAATGTTCCTAGAGGCATAGAGGGTAGGAATGAGCTAACCAGGAGATTGCATCGGTTCCCAGGAACGTTAAGACGTCCCTTATATGCTATGTCACGTTCTCAGTTGATTCTCTGGTGTATATTTGGTTATATCTTATTCACAGTTGTCCTATATATTCTCAGAAGGTTTCCTTTTATTGTGATGCGCCTGTGGGAAGACAACTTCCTCCTGCGCAGTCTCAGTCTAAAAATACCAGCTCAATTGACGTCAATTTAACGAAATATTACCATTCGAGCCACAAGCGAACCCAAGTCAAGGCTCATAATGGAATACTTTTGAACGAAAAAAGTAGAAATAATGAAAATGTGACAGGAACACTTTAGTATGCTAGTTAATCGAGAAAGTAGAGCTGAAGGTATAGATGATATAGAACTAGAACAGGAGGAAACTGAGCTATTAACTTTGCCAACTTTGAAAGAAATCAATAAAGCAATTCAGTTTCTAGCCAGAAACAAGTCACCCGGAGCAGATAACCTACCCGCAGAAATATTTAGATGTGGAGGTCAAACATTTGTAACCCTTTTTCACAAGCTATTAAGTGGGCGACCTAAACCCAAGTACCTGAGTTTCAGACATTCGATAAGGAAGGATGGAAGAATGTTTTGAGACAGGCCAGGGCTCACGAAGGGGTGTAGCGCCAACTGATGATAATAACCATTCGAAGGTCCTTTCAAGGGCGAAAACGGTGTACCGTTGAAAAGGATAGCTGATTTCTGAGACAATCCATTTCTAAAAGCAAGAGTGTAATTGTAAACTTACAAAATGGTTCTGATCATTTTAGACTATTTTCAAAATCACGCCCAGACGATCCTGACATTGAATGGACTCCAGTATCGCACTGACTCGAAGTTGATATTACCAGAAGGCGTTGAGCTACGTATCAGCGTTGAGGCAGCATCAGAATACTTTGTTCAAAGTAGTACCACAGTTCTTTTGACATTGTGTTATAAACAAAAATCTGCTTCAGCGTCTGTATAGAGTTAGTTAATGGTACAGGCACCTAACAGACCTGACTTCAGCTCCATTGACTGTTTATGGGACTATCCTAAAAAAGTGTGAGGTCGTAGGCAGTGCTTGAAAAATTTGATTTGCATTTATTTTGTCTAGAAATTTAAGTATTTTACAAGTCCTTTCTTCACGCGTTTCTATCTATTAAGCTGATTTATCTTAAGTCAAAAGAAAGGTAAAAAAGGTATTTTTGAAGTGTATATATAAAAAAAAATATATACACACTTCAAAATACCTTTTTACCTTTTCTTTTGACTTGTCATAAGTGTGTACAAAAAACATATCAGTCTTTTTTTTTACCAATTCACTAACCTAACCTCAATTTAAAAGCATTTCAAAGATTTTTGTTTGTATATATTTCTAAAAATCCCATTTCTTTTGCTATTCGTAGATTTGTTTTCATCAGATATTTTTATTAGCCGAAGATTTATTGTACAAATGTAAATAAAAGTAATCAAATAAGGATACATTTTGTAAAAAAAAAGGTTTATATCAAATCATAAATGTGTAAATAGTGTATATTAATTCGCAAAATACTTCTTTGAACACAATATCTGTTCAAGAAACGTTTAAAAAAAATCAAGCTTTGTATTTAACTTTTTTTTGTAAACTATGAACAAAATTTCAGCACCAAAAAGACGAGATTCATTTAATATGTTTGAAGTTAAATTTAGAGAGTAAATAAAAAACATCTGGCTAAAAATCGGCAATAAATGTCAGGTTAAAATGAATAATTCTCAGAATATTTTATAGATTTCACTTTTACAAATGTTTCGCTATATTGGTTGGCACATTTGTGGGAAAAGGAAATCCTAAATATGAATATGATCAGGCAAATAGTTTGTTTTACTACTCTGACCAGTCACTACTAGACTATCCTGCAATCTACGACTATTGTGAGTACACCTAGAGTAACAGTGGTTTGGTATGTTGTAGCAAAACACATGTTGGTACGTTGGAGCAAAACACATGTTTTTCATCTTCCTTGGAGAAGACAGAAGAATAATCATTTAGTCTAATGACACCTTTGCATTTCTTTGCAATAATCATCTCAGTTTAGAATTGAGACAAAGAATGGTTAAGTGCTATATTTGGTCTGTATTTATGTATGGAGCAGAAGTGTGGACGTTAAAAGTATCGATCATGAACAAAATTGAAGCATTGGAAATGTGGGTTCATAGACGAATGTTGAAGATACCTTGGACAGCAAGAAAAATTAATAGGGACGTACTAAGGAGAGTCAACAAAGAGAAAGAACTGCTAAAGACTGTTAAACATCGGAAAATGTATTATCTGGTACATATAATGAGTGGAAATCGATATAGAATACTACAACTCATCCTTAAAGGCAAAATAGAAGGCCGTAGAGGTGTAGGAAGAAAACAGTTTTCTTGGTTCAAAAACATTTGTGAATGAACTCCATGTCAAATTCAGGACATTTATTATTCCCTGTGGAAGAAGATCGGGAAGCTTTCGTAATGTTGATCGATAACGTCGGATAATTTTGCTATGGTATGGGAAGAAGAAGAAAATGCTGTACCAACACATACTAGATATAGATATAGTTGGTAACGAGAGAAAGAATCTTTACTGGATGTCTGAGACACGCAACTACCACTATGTCTACTTTGTCTTCGATGTCTCTCCACCTAACATCAGGATAAAAGTTGCTGAGTGACTGCCTAAGCAGATCACTGGTTATCTAGCGATGCTGGTGCATTAGAAGGAAAGAATTGTGAAAAAGACATCACGAATGAAGAAATTTAAAAACTAACTTGGATGACTGTCCAGCACTACAATTTTCTGCTCAACATCGGGTCGTCAACTACGTTTTTTAGCCGCTAAAACAAAAATTACAGTATATGAATATTGCCAGATATTAAGGATTGAGTGCCAATCTTTCGATGTGTGAAACAGTGCTAAAAATGCTTTTCTTAGCTACTTGAGGACGTGAGCCGTTTTATGCACTATTAAATCAGATTTAATAGTGAGTAAGAAATAAATAGAGGTCATCAGATCCGGCGAATAAGATGGCCAGTCCAACACTGGCCTATGATACTAAGAAAAGCTGCAGTTTCAGAAATCTAAATTGACGGTCTTAACTGAACTAACTCACTGAGTTTTTCTATATTGTCATCCATTCTTTGACGTGCAAGAGCGACCTGGACGTGATTTACTTTCAACTTCCTCTGTGTCGTCTTGAAAGGACTCCAAGCGGGTTTTGCAAGTTTTATGTGAAATCAAACAATAATCCGTTGTTCTATTGTCATACTTACTCTATTTGCATCTAAACACAAAAACAACTCTAACGAAAACGAACGCTATGGCTATATGTATTTACTTATAGAAGTGCTACCTTTGAATTTTGCTTTTGCTACGTTTTACTTATAGAAGTGAGAGTCGCTACCTTTGAAAGAAAAGGCCTCATATGGAGAAGTGCTTCTTTTGTAGCGACTTTTTTAATAGCCACACCCCGAAACTAGGGAGAAGTATGTGATTTGCAAAAGAAGTATATCCTACTCATAAATTTGCTTTGGCAATGGCAAATTAGGACTATTGAATATATTTACAGATTGTAAATGGAGATTTTAAAAGACCTACTAGAGATGTCAGACTTAGGAAGTTCCAGAGATAGGAACATTAAAAACTTGTATTGAAGTAAAGTAAGAACAAATTGGGAATTAAGTGCAGTTTTTCAATTAAAGAACTCATTTTTTTATTATTTTGTTATTTTGCAGAAAACCTATTAGTTTTTCCTCGGATTATTGTAAAACCATAATATATTGACTGCCAAGAAAAAACAACGCATAATTATCAACATGTTTGAACACCAGATTATCGTTTCGATCCCATATTTATTGGTCAAAGCATTTAGGGAGCGTTAGAAAAACTACAACAGAGAGAGAGGGAGAGAGAGATAGAGAGAGACACAGACAGAGAGAGAGACAGAGAGAGCCAGAGAGAGAGAGACATGAAGATCTCCTAAAGTGAGAAGCCGACAGGGGGAGTGAGGGAATATATACTGGTTCAGATATAGAGCAAGGGAGGGAGATAACGTCAGAGGAAGAGAGCAAGAGTGTGCGTGAGGGATTTGGAGCGTGATAGAGTTTGGGGAAGTGAGATAGTTCGCGGAGTTATGAGGGAGCTAGATAGAGTATCAGAGATAGAGTGAGAAGGATATAGCTCGAATGAGAGAGGGAGAGAAAGGGATGTCTTATATATACATATAATGGTTTGGAGAACTTTGTCATAGCTGTGAATATATTGTAGGTGAAATCATATTGATAAACTGATTAAATACACATTAATAGTCGATAACAATATGGTTATTGTACGAAATAAATAAAAAATAACACTTTTTGTAACCTGTTTGAATATATTTGTAAGGTTCTAAATTCAATATGTTATTTATATAAACTTGATGGTCGGTGCTAAAATTTTGTTCAGGTACTTGTACACAATATATCGTCGGTTTCATTTGTAAAGTGCGCAAGTCGTTAAATACCCTTAAGACAAGAGATATTGATACAGTACATTAGGTGAAGGACTCAGTCTATCAATAAAAGTTTCACAGTGTTATTGTTCAATCCTGATAAAATATATCTTCTCTTCAGCTCTTTAATGATGCTCCCCTTCTTTCCTTCCACTCTTATACAGTACTTGGTCACTCTCTGTACAGACTTAAATCATATTAACTTCAGTTTTTATTCTATGTATGATTTTTTATGTTTATTTTCCCGTCCTGACTTTCCCTCTGCTTTCTGCAGTGATCCATCTGTTATATGCCATAAAACTCCTTACAACATTGATATTGCTTTTCTTCCTTTGGTGTTTCTATGTAATATTGCTTCTTCTACATCGATGATGTTTGATTTTGTCTATTCTGTTTTTTCTATGTTTACTTCTAGACTCAAATTGTATAACACTGAGGAGCAATGGTTGACGACGATGATACAAGCTCTCCTTTTTTTAGCATTTTCGTTGTTCTTTGTTGACAAGAATTTGTGGACGCTCTATATAATTAAGGTATAACAGAATTTAAAACTTTAGTACTCCTCGAATGAAACCGACGATACCACGAATGCCTTTATGTTACATGTATACATTAAGTGTAAAAAATCTACATTCATACTTTGCTAGCTTAGTGACTTTCCGCCTTCTTCTCTATCGCACCTTCCTCTCGTAGTTTGCTCTCAAGCATGGCTCTGTAGCGTAAGTGTAGTAGTAAAGCCTCGTAAGTTCAATCCCTTAACAAAATATTTCACTAAAACGACCGAAAACGCCCGTATGTTTTAGGCTGGAACAACGAAAACGAGAAGAACAGCTGATGAGGAAGAGGCTGAACAGGAACAAAAGCGTCTGGCACAGGATAAACGGGAATCTGCCCGCTTGGTGTATATTCAAGGGAAAGTACGGATTGCTATTTGCCGCTGCCACCGTCCTGCTCGGCTATATTTATTACTTGCGGTTCACCGAAGGACGCCATCCATTCAAAAGGTTAGTATTTCTTTTTTACTCTTATTACATCATCAGTATCTGTATATCGTATTGTCGAAACGAGTGAAAAATATATTTTCCATTCGTTTGCATTAAAAAATGTATCTTGTAGGTGGCAAAAATCGTTTTTTGAACGTTTTTGCGATAAGTGGATACCGAAATTCGTGACACAACATCATCAATCCATAGAACGTTTCGTTAAAGGTAATTAAAGAGTGATTGTTGGTTTAGCTTGGCTTCGTGCAGGGCTTCCTTTGAAATTTCGAATCCATGGGGCAACTGAGATGGCTTGTCTATTAGTTTTAAGATTTTTTGAAGAATTCACCAACTGCATTTAGGAAGCGTTAGAAAAACTATAACAGAAAGAGAGAGAGAGGGGGAGAAAGACAGAAAGAGAGAGAGAGAGAGAGAGACAGGAAGATCTCCTAGAGTGAGAAGCCGACAGGGGGAGTGAAGGAGTATATATTGGGTCAGATATACAGCGAGGGAGGGAGATAACGTCAGAGGAAGAGAGCAAGAGTGTGCGTGAGGGGTTTGGAGCGTGAGAGAGTTTGGGGAAATGAGATAGTTCGCGGAGTTATGAGGGAGCTAGATAGAGTAACAGAGATAGAGTGAGAAGGATATAGCTCGAATTAGAGAGGGGGAGAAAGGGAGAAATTGTATACAAAATTTTATTTTAGGTACACTTAAAGAAGATTTTTTGAAATAAGATATAGACTGAAAAATTGCCACACTTCGCATCCATATGTAGTACTTAGGACGGACGTTAGCAAGGACGTCATGACATTCTCAAAATTCACAAAAAACAAGTAAAGTCACCCTTACCCGATATTTATACAGTTAAAATATCGTTTTTTATTGAAGGTACATAAATTGCAAAAAACTCAGAACTTTGCTCTACATTATATTCATTTAAATTAAGAGAAGACATAAGACTTTCTTTTACATAAATTCCAACTCCGCTTTGTTTCTTTTTTATTCTACAAAATAAATTAGGTAATGAAAAACCGGAGATACTAATTAATTTTAAATTTTCTTCACTTTGCCAGTGCTCCGAGAAACATATGACGTCATATAATTTTTGATCTGCAAGAAAAGCATTGATCATATCGACTTTATTTGAAATACTGCAAATTAACATGATACATGCTTACCGTACCTTGTCGAATTAGTTTATTTTGATAAAAGTTTGTAGAAGCTTCTAGGTTTCTTCCTCCGTCTTCTTTATGTGCTAAAAATTTCTTTTGAAGTTAAATCTCCTAACGGCAGCTCCTTTGGGCCAAATAGTAGGACTGTAGACTTCGTCAATTTTATCGAAAGGGAAAGATACCTTATATGTGGAGTTTGTCAGTTCTATGTCATTCCACTCAGTTAAAAATAATATCGGGTACCATCTCACCCAAAATTTTAGAAGATCATCGGCTTTCACATCAACACCTATGCAGGACACATGTATACTTCATCTAATTTACTTACTGTTGCACGTCATTATCATTGAGATCTCGCAGAGATCGAAGTTGACATAGTTGCCAAAGTATAAAAAAATCCTGACTCCATTTTAAATCAAATAGGTCACATAATTATTGCAAAAGTATTACCATCTCTTTACAACGACTATTTAAATTCTCACGTGACATTTTTGAAATAAAACACACTAATTTTGTTCTAAAAAGAACAGATTTTATTAAATAGGTAAAAATATAAAACAAGAGGTATTCACTTTAAAATTCAAAATAATAAAGTACAAAAAGTGCAACACCGCAACTGTCAAATAAGTATTACCAATTTATGCCAAAATATCACCTTCGTTCGATTACAGTTACAGTGTGTTCCGAACAAATGTTCTTCATAAAAACGCCTCATAATGCATGTATACACGTTAAATGAAACCACAGCCACCTTTACTTCCAAGCCATGAAGTAAAAAAGGCAACACCGCATTCTATGACGTCGGTAGTCCGATAATCAGCTGTAAGGTCTACCAGAATATTAAACTAATTTGAATTTTAGGAAACTGATATTTTGAAAACTTCAATTCATTACAGAAATATTTTTAGGGAAATTAAATTAATAAAACCTTATATATACCTAGTAAATATATATAAAGTTTTATTATTATTTAGGTTATATTATCAATAAAATAATCACTAGAGTAAAATTTATTGCACTTAAAATACAGTGTCAAACAGTTAATCTTACAATCAAATGCAGTCAAGAATCTCTAGAAATTTTAAATATTAAGTACTTAAGCATATAAATAAACATACATTAACACGACATTTAAAAAGATTATTAAAAATACAAAAGATATAAAATTTGTGCTAAGTAAAAACTTAGTGTAACTATTATGATTAAAAAATTCATCCTAAGAAATCAGACACAATATAAATATGGTTCTAAATTAATCTAATTGAAAATTAAATATTTTACTACTATTTACTTATAACTTTTGTTGAATTTTCATACTTAGATATACAAAAGTAGCAATTTTAAATATGAATAGGTTTGTTGTCATATAGACCAAGTTAAAAGAGGTATACATGAAAAATGTGTTGAATGTAACATACCATTTATAACTTGTATATCGATTTAAAATAGCCTATATTCTCAAAAGATTTTTGAATGTAATACTCAAATTTGTTATCACTTATCTAAAAAGCAGATCTAAATGAGAAAGTAAGTTCTCTAATTGTGACCATCTTGTTAATTTACTATATTGTAAAATCCATTTCAAATCATTACTACTTAATCTATTCTTACCTACATTGACGATTACACTAAAATTACTGCTAACTATTACACTACATATTACACAAATATTATCACACTTGTGTCCCAACTGATTAATGTTTAATACATAGAAATATACACAGTCACTTGTAATTTTACTTGTCCAGTTTTTCAATGGGATATTATTGTCTAAGTCTAATTGACATAATTATGTTATCTCTTGTTCCCTCTTCTTATGCAAAAAGTTTCTTCTGTCTTCGGGATTCCTTCTTTCTTTAGTACGATGAACAGTTACATATGATGGTACTTCAGGAAATATATTAGGAACTGCATTGCCTTTTAATTTGGGAAATATTAACTTTTCAATGTGTACATTTCCATCTTTATCTTCTCATTGTTCAGTCCGCTGAATATCATCTTCATGAAAATGTTTGGCACATACTACGGAAGATTTGGTAATTGTACAGCCTTCTCTATGAATAGAGCATAACCCAGTATACCTTCTTTGGGGATCTTTGGGAAACAAAAACATACTTTCTGCCTGTTTCGTTTTTAAAGTACTGGCATAATTGGTTTTGCAACCAGGTACACAACAATGCCAGAGCATCTGTAACAAAAAACAAAAGTATTATTATTGTTGTTTTTAGTTTACATATTTTGTAACAAGAAGCAAAAGTATTATTATTTTCAGTTTGTTTTGTAGGTTATATTTATACTTGCCTTTTAAATTGTCGTTAAGAATCTTCTAAAAGTTCTAAATTTAATGAAATTTCACTTATATTAATATTTTCTAATTGATTTAAACACAATTTACAAATAAAACATTCGAATAAAGTTAAAAAAACAATAAATTCAACAAACTTTACAAGCCTTCCTATATGAAATGTTAAACCAAAACAAACCACAGTCGGACTACCACGCCTTGTTGCCAAATTTCTACTTCATGGCTTGGAAGTAAAGGTGGCTGTGAATGAAACATATTATTGTGTTAAGTTAACATTAATAGAAATCTTTCTCACGGCCGCGGATGACGTGCATCGGTAAGTTAATTAGATGAAGTATACATGACTTTGTCTAGGAATGGTGTTTACAGTAGACGATTTGTTGCTTCCAATAATCGGTTTGTATTTGTTTTCTTTTTTCGAATGGGTATTCCAAGATAAGTGTCCTGTTTTTAGATTGTTTTTATTTTCTTTTTGTTTATCACTCATGTATGAATGAGGTAGACTTGTGTTTTTGTTTAATGATATTTTAATGGGTTCTTGACTGGTATAATCTGAGTTGCTTGGGCCTGCTTTATTTACAGTTTTTTCGCTAGATGGCGTTGGTATTGGTATGTCTGAATTTTTATTTTTTTTTTAAATAAAGAAATTAAATCTTGTTGCTCCACCGTATGTTTTTCTAGATGGAAGAAGAAAAATAGCTTACTTACGGAACATTTAAGGTGGTGCTTTGATTTTGGAGAGCAATGTATATTAGTATTTACAAGTGGAGAGGTTTTAATCAAAATTATTTACTATACATTTCCATTATTCATTATTATTCTTCTTTTTCAATTAAAGACGTCTTCAAGAGTCTATTTGAGCGAATAAAAATGAGGAGTAGGAATTTTTGTGCTGTAGATTTCTGACAATGACTCTGCCACAATATTCCCGAGCTCAGTGAATGGATACATTTCCATCAATGTATCATAACTTCATTTATTTTACAGTCAAAGTTTATAATATTGTTCATAATATTCAATTTACTAATGTTTGTATTTTGAGAACGATTTCCAAAGTGGATATTGAAACGTCAATAAACGTACTTCAACCTTTAATTGTGGCTTATTCCCATTTAACTAGTAATTAAGTTAAAGTTCATATTGTTAATATATATGTTTTATGTTTCAGCATCTTCAATACATGACATTTGCTGGTCCCTGGTACTATTAGGTCTATTACCCATCAAAGATTTTATACCATTTTTTAATTTATTTTTATAATGTGTACATACTATATACTATTACCTTAAGAAAAAAGAAGAGTAAATATTCGTTTATGAAGACTTATTAAATATAAAGAGGTAAAAAATGCTTAATTGTCTGTAGAAGAGGCAACAGTGTACTCGATAACATAAATACCGGGGAAAGGTAAAAAGTTCTCAATTCGGTATTAAAAAAATTAGTATTTTTATTTTAAAAAATCTCTAAATCTCTAAATAGTCTCACTTCGCCAATTTGGCCTTTGAAGTTAAATGGTATGAATACCTTCAGAATATATTCATTTATCTCTTTGCAAATTTCTTAAGATTTACATACATAAAAGTCAGATCGATGCAAATAACTTGAAATTCCTCTATTCTCACTTCAAATTAGTTAATGTCATGATAAGAAACGATTATTTCTGTTGAAAATGAGCCATTTTCTTTTTAATTTCTTTTTCTTGCTGATTATTCGGCTCTTTGGTATGTACCAATTAAACTGTCTCCTATTTACTTTAAAATCTATTAAAATACCAACCTAATGTCTTCAAACCTTGCTTTTTTTTATTTTCTTCAGTACTATTGGTTCGTATACCGTGCTTGGGATTCTGTTTTGATTTTGGTGGAAATTGTAATCATAAGTTTACTCTATTCGTAACAAAAAATTGAAAAATGTTAATCGAATTGAAAAACTAAGCAAAAAAAAGAAGGGAACCATGCGAAGAAAAGAACTACAGAATAACAAAACATCTGAAAATATTGTTAAGGTAAGGAAAGAGTACCAAGCGCGTCTTGTAAGACAATAATTGTAAGTCTTCAACCTTCAGTGTTATTTATAATTGAAATAATCGACCCATTGTAGCGTAACTTGCTGCGTGTGTTATCATGTAAATATTCTGAAGATGATTTAGTATATTTTTGTTCTGGTTATTTCTCAACAAATAGATTACACTTAAGAAGACAATTCAGTAGCTGGCTGAGCATGAGTGTAGGCTCCTCTCTTTCATTTTCTAGTTTCCAAATGGCTGTATACCAAGAATTCTTCTTTTTTTAGTTCCTTCTCCTTTCTGAGGTTGGCTATCATCACAGCTATCCGTACCTTATTGGCAGCTGCTCTGAAAAGATATACTGAGCTACAACTATACCACTCTCTTTTGGAAATTCTTCGTCTTCCTATGGATCTTTTACCCTTGATTTTACCTTCCATTATGAGCCTTAATATTTCATATTTCGCACCTCTGGTAATGTGGCCTAAATATTTCAGCTTTCTTGTTTTATATGTTTTATGACCTTGCAATCCTTTTGTAGCCTTCTTAACACTTCTGCATTTGTAACTCGTTGGGTCCATGGCATTTTCAAAATCCTATATCACTACATCTCAAATTATTCCAGCCTCTTTTTATTATCCATGTTTAGTGTCCAGCTTTCCATTCCATACAACAAAGTCGAGAACATGTAGCATCTTAAGGTTCTTATCCTCAGCTCCAGAGGAAGGTCTCGATTAATAAACATTGTTTATATTTTTATAAATGCTATAACGAAAAAACCTGGATAAATCGATTGATCACGATTAAAAAATGACTATTCGTTCTTCTGAGCTGACCATTAGCGTTACTCATCGATTATCTTGTAGATTTTTTTGTATATTTTCCTGAGTAATAGCTGTTTCTGGTTATATAGGGACAATTCAAATCAGATAAAACAACATTTGGCATTCATAACAAGTGTGCCAACATAATAAAATAGTAATTTCATTAACAGCAGCGCCATCTATTACGTGCTCGAGAACTTTTCACCTTGCCCGTGTAATTGATTTTATAAATGTTTATTTCTGTATATAAAATTGTCTCTGAAATAAAGTAATAGTCGTACATTTAGTAATATAGAGAAATACTTGTTATAGTTATGCTTTTGTTATATCTTTTGAATAAATTTGCCAAATAAGTAAGTTATCAATTGGCTACATCAAATCTTTTGTATATAAAGACTAATACCTCAAATAAAGGATATTTTACCATAAAGGAAATTTTTAGAAAATTGGTAGAAAGATGGTTATTAGTAATTGATGACGATGACTACAGAGCTTTAGAATTCAATTTTGGGCGCAATCTAACCTAGCATAGATAAGTAAACTTTTTGTCTAAATATGAAAAATATATTTTAATAATTATACTAAAATGCCTGCCAATAATCTCATTGTTCAGTAATAATACTATAGGAAAGTCGTTAGTTATTTTCAACCTTACCAGCCGTCGTATTCTTTTGATAATCATTCTCGAAATAATGGAAACGTGAAAAAATTTACGTTAGCTCATACATTTAATGTGACGTCACGTAAAATGTGTTATTTATGTGACTTTTGGCGTGAAATGTGACATTTGACGTGGTTATTGTACGTCAAACGTCACATTTCACGCCAAAATGTTGCGTAAATGATATAGTTTCAATTGTATTTTAAAACTGAGGCTTTTTCTTTAGTTTTCTCTATTTAAATGACAAAATACAAGGCATTTATTCGAGTTAGCGCTAGTTTACATGCACATACCCTGTAGTGCTCTAGTTGCTTCTAACTACTATCGTTTTTTTAGCTCCGTTACTAAAAAATTGATGATGATAAAATCTGCAAACATAAATATAACAAGGCACTACTAAAGTTCTGAATTATCTGTACCTAAATGATAAGTTGGTGTCATGTTCATAGAAAGATTCGTGAAATTTCTGCTATGTATGGGCAAAGATTTTTCAGAGATTTAAAGATCTTATTGTGGAGTAGAGTAGTTAATCTATCTCAAAGACAATCAGATATGATTGCTTGCAGAATTTTGGGGAGTCGCTCGAGGCTCGATCTGAAGAACGCGGAGAAAATTCAAAGTACATTTCAATAGTTGTTGCAATATTTTTTCATTCCAACGTATTAACCACTACATAATAACTCTACATAATACCACTCAGTTCAAAGTTCATTTGACTTGGTGAAACCATGTTCCTTGGATTGTCAAATGTCAAGATAAAACAATTGGAGTGTGTTAAAACAGTTACAAAAAATTCTAAGAAATTCTACCACCTATTACTCGCTGTTTCTAACGCAGCAATGCAAACAATATTTTTCCCATCCGAAAACAATAGTTTATTAACACCGAAACTTAAATTTTACCTTTAATTGAAAATGGCAAGTAGGTCCAATTAAAGCACCGTAATTTGTAAGCGTATTGTCCCATTGAGCTTAAATTGTTACAGCTAACGTTTGAAGATTATTATTGTCAAATCATTGTAATTGATAAACTAATTGTCCCATTGAGCTCAAATTGTGACAGCTGACGTTTGAAGGCTATTACTGCCTAAAAATTGTATGCATTTATTATTAGGGACGCCATCTATGTGTCTGTTCCCGAATTTATAGTGATGTGGTATAACTTTATTTCTTTATATCCTGTTAACTTGTCGTGCAATTATAGCATCGATTTATTGTTATGTTATGTTTATGTTTAAAATGGTAATCGATACACTTGTCTCACATGTAATACTCTGACTGTGTAAAATACTTGTATTAAATCAGCATTTAGGTGTTGTATAAAAAACGGAATAAATAAATATGTAAATGTGGTTAAGTGCAATTTATAAACGTTAATAAAATAAAGAAAGTTTTTGGAGATGTTTTATTTTTACCTTATTGAGATTGTTCTACAACATTCCTTATCATTATCAAATTTCCAATGACAAGATTGAAATCCAGTTTGGCGGATAAAACAAACATTCTTTCGGTTTCTTTTTGTTTTGAAACTCTGTAGACAGACCAATTTAACATTTTGCGGTGTTGCGCATGTATCCTTTGTATTTCCTAGAGTTCCTTCTTCTTCTTCTTCTTATAGTGTCATACACCTAGAGTGCATTGGCGAATTACCTTAAGGCCAGACGTCTGTCCTTTGCGGCATGCAAAAGATCGTCAGTGTTATTTATGTCTGTCCAATTCTTTGTTCCGTAGCCACGACATTTATTGGTACATCCGAGGTATCCAAATTTTGATACCTTGATCAAATTGAGTAGTTCTCTCTCAGTATTTGCCTTTCTTAAGACTTCCTCGTTTCTCACCCTATCTGTCCATGGTATGCGGAACATTCTTCGCAATGTCCACATTTCGAAGGCCTCCAACTTATTCATGGAAGATACTCTTAACGTCCATGTTTCCATGCCGTATAACAATATGGACCATACATAGCATTTAACCGTAATGCAGCGGAGATTGAAGGAAAGATTGCGGTTACATATGTAGCGGTTTAAATTTGATAAAAGCTTGTCTTGCTTGTTCGGTACGGCATTTTATTTCTTGTTGAGGATCCCATTGGTTATTCATCATCATTCCCAAGCGACTATAGCCATTGCGACTATTTCATCAGCCTCGACTATAGCCATTTTTATGTTCTCACAGGTTTCCTCTATGCAACTTCCTTGTATGTTTCTCAAGTTCTCGTTGATGTGTTTATTGTATGTAGATCTAAGCTCGTCATCTCTCATTAATTCTCTAGTGTTTATGTATTTTTTATTAGATGCCTTATTAACCTTTCCCAATCGACGTCTTACATTCGCGATTAGGGGATTGTGGTCAGACGAAATGTCCGCACCAGGGTAAGCGGCCAATCTTTTTATATAGTTGCGGAATCTTTTGTTTATCAAGATGTAATCAATTTGATTTCGTATCATATGACCTGGACGATCTCCTGGTGCTCGCCATGTATACAATCTTCTTGGCGGGAGTTGATACACGTATTGGATGTGACGAAATCGTGGTCATTACAAAATTCAATTAGTAACTCTCCTCTCTCATTTTTGTTACCCAGACCGAAATCACCGAACGACTTTAGCATTAAAATCGCCCATTATTATGTTGATATCGTTTTTCTTTGTGACCTTTAATGCTTCCTTTATGTCTTTATATAAATCTAAAACTTCTGTTTCCGGTTTATCAGATGTGGGTACGTAAACTTGGATTAGATTTATATTAATAGGTTGACCGGCTAACTGCACTATGATTACCCTATGATTAGACCAGAGAACATATATATTGATCAGTTATTAAGAAAGTTTAATATGGAGGAGTGCAATGTTGTCAGCTCACCAATAGATAATTTTGATTTCACGGAAAGTAATTACTCAGAAAAAGTTGAAAATCCTTTATATCAAAAATTAATTGGTAGTCTAATGTTTTTA